TCAGGATGTTGGCTGGATGGTAAGTGAAGAGGAAAAAGTAGTCTTACGAAAGAATTGAGTGTCATAAATAAGAGACCCTGAAGCATTTCAATAACAAAAAATACATCCTAAATCTTTGAAAACTACATGGTTGGGTAACATAATAACAATGACTAAAAGATGAATTATGGACCAATCATTTGTGGTATAAAACAGAAGGAGAAGGGAACTGGCAGAATGTAAACTTGAAAAGCATATAAGGTAAACTCGGAAGAGCCAAAATATTTTAACAGCCATTTTGAAATAGAGGAATGAAGGGTAAATGAGAAGATATCATCTAAGATATATTAAGCGTAATTCAACAGTGATGAAGAAAGTTGTATATTTACTCACTATGCAAGTTCAAACAAGACACACCGCATCATTAGTCATTATGGAAATGCAATCACAACCATGATACAGCACTTCCGGTTCACTAGGATGCCTGCTACCAGTAGGACACTCAATCCAGTGTCAGAAAGCAGTGTTTGCTAACATGTGGGTGTGTGCTGTATTGCATGCTGCAATAGTCTTAAGAACACACTTAAGAGATGTCAGTGAATTCAAGTATTTAACAAACTACTATTTAATGACTGTTTAGACATGCTGTTTTCTACCATTTCTTGCCACATGAGTTGAAGGTTTAGTTGTAACAAGCAATATTTCAATAAAAGGGTAGCAAATACATACATTAGATCTGAGGTGAAACATGTGGCATATGTAACATATGTCCACCTCAAATGCTGCCTTTGGGGATACAAAGTGGCCAGTCATGTTTTCAAAAAGTTTACATTTCATTAAGTGTGAATACAGAGTTACCACATAAGCCAGTGACTTCACTCCTAGAAAGTTGGTAGTGAAGAGACTATGCCTTATTAGATGGAAATGGGTCTTTGAGGACCAGGGTGGGATATTATGATTTAAAAGTTACATGCTGGGCTGTCAAGTTGACAAGGAATGAACTTGTGATGGTTAATGTGCATTGTCAACTTGACTGGACTTTGAATCACCTTGGACACACACAAGTGGGCATGGCTAAGAGCGCATTGCTGTGGAATAATCTTTCTGTACAGCGTGTGAATACATGCCGCTATGATTGGTTTAATAAACAAGCTGACTGGCCAATAGCTGAACAGGATAAAGTTAGGCGGGAAAGCCAAAGTGAGAATGATGGGGTGAGGAAGGGCTGAGTCTGAAAAGTCACCAGCCAGACACAGAGGAAACAAGATGAGAATGCTGTACTGAGAAAAGGTACCAAGCCACATGCTAAACATAGATAAGAATTATGAGTTAATTTAAGTGTAAGAGTTAGTTAGTAAGAAGCCTGACCTACCTGCCAAGCATTCATACGTAATATTAATACTCTACGTCAATTATTTGGGAAGAGGCTGCTGGGTATTTGGCAGTTGCTGGCAGGACAGAAACTTCTGTCTATGGAGCATTTCAAGAGAGGTTTAAGTGAGGCAACCACCTTGAGTGTGGGCCATGGGCTGGGATCCTGGACCGAACAGAAAGGACAAAGGAGCAAACAAGCTGAGCACCAGCTTTCACCTCTGCTTCCTGACTGTGGACACAATGCTATCAGCCACTTCACACTCCTGCTGCCATGCCCTCCTTCCCATGATGGACTGTATCTCCAAACTGTGAGCCAAGAAAGTCCTTCTCTCCTCAAACTGCTTCTGCTGGGTACTTGTCACAGCAGTAAGAAAGTAACATTTCCTAAGGGAGAAATACCATCCAACTAAGGTATAACAAAATAATTCATTTAGCTCAGTACTAGGGCATTTGCCTATCCGTGTGAGTCTGATTCATTCTCTAGCACTGGAGAAGAAAAAGACAGCTCACATAGGTATATGAATAGTCAGTCATATTTGGGGGCCAGTAAGATGGCTTAGTGGGTAAGCCTAAAGGCCCAAGTTAGATTCTTGGGTCCCACATAGTAGGTGAGAACAGACTCCTGTACACACAGACATACAGACACACACACACACACACACACACACACACACACACACACACACACAGAGAGAGAGAGAGAGAGAGAGAGAGAGAGAGAGAGAGAGAGAGAGAGAGAGAGAGAGAGAGATGTAATTTTTAAAATTCAAAACATGTAGTGGACCGTGGTTCAATTTAGTTGGTAAAGTGGTTGCCTACCATCCATGAAGCTCTGGGTTTGACTCAGGTGTGGTGGTTCAACCTGTAATTCCAGCACGGAGTATACAGAGGCAGGAAGTACCCGGAGATCAATGTCATTCTTGGTTACATGGGGAGTTTGAGGCAACCCTATACTATGTAAGACCCTGCTTAAAAAGAAAGCTCAATATTGTGCATAATAGCAAAGAGTTAAAAGCCATATAGAGGCCCATAAACATATGAACAAAGAAAGAAAATGTGGTATACACACAAGGACATCAGCCTTAAAAATAAGGAGTCTTGTCATACACTATAGTACAGTTGAGATTGAGTACATAATTCTAATTAAGTGAATTATAAGAGAAAGATACTAGATGGCACTGTGTATGAGATGTCTAACTAAATTCTTAAAGAGAGGTGGTCGTTGCCAAGGCGGGGAGGAGACAGGGGAACTCTCTGAGCCCTCTTTTCTAAAAGCATTGGTCCCAAGTGTGAGGGCTCCACTCTCATGATCTGATGACCTCCCAAAGCTCCAAGCTCCCAATAGCATGTGTCTTCCTCTGCCTGCCCCCCACAGACTAATTTATAAAGGGAGGAAATTGCTAGGAGCTGATGAGAGCCTTACTACTGCCCCACAACCTGTCAGAGGCCATCAAGTGACAAGTGCAGACAAAGAATCTGCTCTCATGGTAATAGTATTAATCCATTTATGAGCCTGGAGCCTCCATACATAATCTTGTCTTCAAGGCCCTACCTCTTAATATCTTACAATGCCAACTCAATTTCAGCATGAGTTTGGAGGAGATATTCAAGCCATAGCATCACTATACTAAAATCAGGTTTGGAAATACAAATATTCACTCTACTACATATCCAACCAATAGCCTAATATCTAGAATTATAAAAGAATTCTCAGAACAGCAAAACAGAAATAATCCAACTGGAAACTGGAGAAAAGACATGAATAGACATTTCAGCAAAGAATAGATTTAGTTGGGGGATAGAGAGATAGTTCAAGCAATTAAGAGCACTTGCTGTTCTTGCAGAGGACCCAGGTTCAGTTCCCAGTACCCACATAGCATAACCACATGGAACTTCAATTCCAGGGAACCCAGCGCCCTCTTCTGGCCTCCACAGGTACCAGGCACATGTGGGGAACATACATACATGCAGGCAAACCACCGAAACACATAAATAAATCTTAAAAAAGGAAAAAAAAACCCCAATGCTTTATTTGATGTCAAATAAACATATATAGAAGTTTAAGTATCACTGTCTAGTTAAAAACTAACAAATAAAACCAAAATGAGATATAAGCACACACTTGTAAGAATGGTCAAAGTTTTAAAAAGTGACAAATCCTAGTGAGGGTGGAGAGAAACTGAATAGTGTTACTAGCAGAAATGCAAAAACTGGTACAGTCATTGTGGAAAACAGTTTGGATATTTGTGTAGGTGAGGGTGGGTATGTACAAGTACGTGTGTGTATGTTTGGAGACCCGAGGACAGTCTTGGGTATCCTTCCTCAGGAGCCATGCACCTTGTTTTTTGAGACGGGGCTGTCTCTGGCCTGGATCTCACCAAGTGGGCTAGGGTGCCTGACCCAGAGAGTGAAGGGACACTGGCCCACTCGAGCATGTGGCTCTGGAAAGCCTTGTCCTTCTCCCCCATCCCCTCTGCCCTGCTAAAAACTGTTAGATTACTTTCCTAAAGGCTGCCACTAAGGCCTATTCCCTTTTTGGCCACTTCCTCCTCCTGAGGCTGACTACCAAAGTCTAGCAATCAAAAGCCCTATTTGGTTCACCTCATTAACATGCCCAATTAAAATTAAGCACCTCATCCTAACACGGGGTTTCCCCTTTTACCTTTATAAACTGCCATTTTCCTATGTGCCATGTCTGTCTCCTCTCTATCCAGAGGCAGTCCTTTGTCCCTCTGGGGACAATACCTCTACCCCTTTACTTCGCCCCTTCCCTCCCCTATCTCCTTAACACCCCGTCCCAGCCCATTCTAACAGACCTCCCCTTCTCCTCCTCTTAAAAACGACACCTGCAAGGTCATTCGCTGCTGTTTTCTGCCTGTTTAATAAAGGCTCTCTCTGTGAAAACAGGTGTTTGGGTGTGGTTGGTGCCTAGTCTGGGGTCCAGGAGGAAGCTCCTACCGTTCAGGGGTCTCCTTCAGAGAACCCCAGGGATTTGTTCTCTCCACCTCCCCAGGGCTAGGATCTTCATTTTTTGCTTACATGGGTGCTGAGGATTGAACTCTGGTCCTCTGTACTGACTGAGCTATCTCTCCAGCCCCAATTTACTTCTCTCCCCCTTTAAATAAAATTGCTGTACCAAAAGCACTTCTGGACAAGTCTCAAGAAATGTAAATTGGTGTGCACATAAAACTTGGTATCTAAATGTTCATAGCAGCTTTTTGATTGTACTTCGCCCTGAGAATAGCCAGACATACCCACATTATGAAGTTACGACTCCCAACTAGCCCTGAGGAACCAACTGTGTAGATTTCTGTGGGTTATTTTAATAATGCTGCATGACTGGATTGCTTGTCATTAAAAGGGAAGGGTATATTTCCTGCATGTTGTTTTAGTTGTTTTGTTGTTGGTTTTTGTTTGTTTGTTTTTTGAGACCGGGTCTCACTGTGTATCCCTGGCTGGCTTGGAGCTGGCCATGTGGAGCAGGCTAGGCTAGAACTCCTGAGATCAGCTTTCCTCAGCCTCTCAAATTGGGTTAAAGGCGTGCGCCACCTCGCCCGGCCTAATTTCGTTCATCTTAATAACCCTGCGCACAGCCGACCGTCAAGAACAAAGGCCACGTACTGATTCTCTCAACACAGAGTGCACAGCAGGACCCTGTTCAAATCTCAGGAGCTCCGATCAACCGTCTTCACCGCCCGTCCACGAACAACGATTACACGTGAGGAGCCGATGCGCAACTCCCGGCCCCGCCCTCGAGGTTTCTTGACGTCACTAGTCCGCGCCCCGCGCACTATTTGACGCGCTGTGACCCGCCTGCCGGAAGCCGGGTGGCTGACCATGGCGACAGTGGCGGAGCAGTGGGTGCTGGTGGAGATGGTGCAGGCGCTGTATGAGGTACGTCCATCGCCGGAGCCTCCCGTGAGCCCCCGGGCAGGGCCTAGCGACCCGCGACCCGGCTCCGCGGTGCTTCCTGTTCCCGGGGCGCACAGGGGACGGAGCCTCGGCTGTCCTGGCCTCCTGGAGTCAGGCAGGACTCCGGAAAGCAGCACTTGGGAGGGGTGCCGAGGACACGCAAGTCCTCAAAGCCACAGTTGGAACTGATGGCGAGACCGGGTTTGTGGGAGTGGGCGTTTATAGGTGGGACGAATGCCTTTTCATGGCGGGGGAGAGTGGTTTAGAAAAACAGAATAATGGGGAATTTATGAAAATTGAGTAGCCACTCTTATGCCCACAATTTCTATGTTATAAACATATAACGTTTTGAAGGATTTTTAAAGAATAGTTGAAGGGTTAGGGTGGTTTTGTTTTTTTAAGAAAATATGAAATCCAAATGCCAGTCTTGGGAGACAACTGAGCTTCTCTGTCTGTTACGTCCTACAGAACTTATGTGTCTTCTATCTCAGGGACTCTTCAATACGACAGTCGCTAACGCCACGTGATAATAGGCACGGGCAATGAATTTGTAATTGCACTTTAATGTGAATGTCGGTGGCCGTATATGACTAGTGGCTATGTATTGGACCACAGAGATCTGAAGCCTGGAGATGGTGTTGTGAGCAAGCAGATAAATCCCGGTGCACAGAGAGCTTATGTTAGTTGACAGTGAATTTCACTTCATTTGATAACGTTATCAAAAGTTGCTGCTTATAGGTAATAATAATGCTCCATTACAAGAGCTATCTGGAATTTCTCGTTTATTTGTTTATTTGTTTTGGTTTTTCTAGACAGGGTTTCTCTGTATAGTCCTGGCTGTCCTGGAACCCACTTTGTAGACCAGGGTAGCTGTGAACTCAGAGATCCGCCTGCCTCTGTCTCCCAAGTGCTGGGATTAAGGCATGCACCACCAAGTTCAGTTTACTTGGAATTTCTTCATAAATAATATTTGAGAAAGAGCCTATTTGATTTTCCTATTCTATATCGAGGTCCAGTATTAGGCTAGTTATAGCTACTGAGTCACTAAAATTGAATTTTTTTTAAAAGAAATGAGTAATTTTCTGTTTTACAATGTGACTTCTTACTCCCCAAAGGGAACCAACACAGACTTTCGAGAATTCTTTGTGCATCACATTTCCTAGGGTGAGAAAAAATAAAACTGGTATTTATGATTATTTGAATAATTCTGTAGACTAGTAGTGTTTCATCTTAGGGTAATTTCTTTATGGGTTGCCTATTTGTTGAGTTGAACAGATGTTTGCCTGCTATCATCCAAGTATTGAGAAAATCAAGGTTATCTGGACTTACTCCTAAATTAATTATGTTTAAGAGGGGTCAGCATAAATTTTAAGTCATCTTGAATAGAGATTTCTGTTGTTCTCAGATTCTGTGTATTTTGTAGAATTTGAGGTTAATATAGCATACCTGAAAAATAAAAATAAAGGTCCGTGTGTGTGTGTGTGTGTGTGTGTGTGTGTGTGTGTGTGTGTATGTGTGTGTGTGTGAGATCTATGTAGTTTTAAAGGTATTTTCACATTGACATGAAAAGTCATATGTGAATTTGTCAGCAGTTTTCCAGTCTCTCTAGTCTGGTATGGTGTGTGTTTGTTTGTTTTTTAGCTATGGTGAAATACCATCCCTTATTTCTGCCTCATTATTGACATGTTTTTGTATGTAAGTTTGTAGGTACTTGTCTTTATTTTGAGATAAAGTCTCACTGTGTAGCCTAGGCTCACCTTGAACTTCAAATGTTCCTGGAATTTCAGGCATACACCACCATGCCTAACTTTTAAAGGCCTGGGTTTGCTAGATATTGTGGGTCACTCCTTTAGTCCTAACACTTCTGGTCTGCATAACAAGTTCCAGGCCAGCCATGGCTACTAGTGAGACCTGCCTCAAAAACAAAATCCAAGCAAAAAAAGGCCTGCGTTTGTGTTTTGTTTTTTTTTTGTTGTTGTTGGATTGTTTGAGATAGGGTCCAACTAGTAGACCATCCTGGCTTTAAACTCAAAAGATCTGCCTGCTTGTGCTTCCCAAGTACTGGAATTAAAGGCGTGCACCACCACACCCAGTTTAACATGCCTGTTTTAAATGACTTTTCTGGTGGTAACCCCCTGGAATAGAGTATCCTGTCACTGACTGACTGAAGAGTTATGGTGTCTAGATTCTTCTATGTAAACTCAACCATGCCTTTATCCTGAAACTATGTAGAAGACAAGACAGTAGAATAGCCAAGAGTCCATCTTACTAAGATGGCTCAACATTTAAGAGCACTTACAGCTCTTCCAGAGGGTCTGGATTCAATTCCCAGCAACCACATGGTGACTCACAGCCATTTGTAACCAGTTCCAGGGGAATCTTCTGATCTCTGCAGGTGTCAGGAAGACATGTGGTAGACAGACATACATGCAGACAGAATACTCATATACATAAAATAAAAATAAATTAATAAAAATTTTAAATGAAAATAAAGATATTTTTGTGCCTATCAACATGAGACAGGTTAGCATCCTTTGGGTAACCTGATAGGAAAGAATCAATTTCCTTTAAGCATTTATTACTGCCAAGCCCACCCCCACTCCACACTGCATTGTCTAAGATCTAAGGAGATTTAGCAGGGGACTGAAAATATAGTAAGGTGCAAAACTTGACTAATTGTGGAAGCTGGTTTCCACATAGTTTTGTTAACTATCCATGGATGGGCAGAGGTGATAGAGGGTGTGTTTAGGTGTGTGCTGTTTTCTTAGTCATTTCCTGCCAATAAAAGTGTAAATTATCTGAAAGATAGGATAGAGATGTTTTAAGTGTTGGGGTTGTGTATCATCTTACCTCTTTTCCATTGTCATTAGTGAAAGGTTTTAAGCTGAAGCATTAGGGGTTTCTCATGTGGTGGAGTAACTGCCAGTTGTTGAGGTGGGAAAGGCATGTGGAGCCATTAAGGAAGCCCTGGCAGCAGGTGTGTGTAGTGTTAGTGTGATGTCAGGAGAGGCAGCACTGGGGTGGGCTCAACTTCCTGCAGGTTTGGAAGTGACTTCTTTGGTTTCTTTCCTTTGTCTTTGCTTTGCTCCCTCACAGGCTCCAGCATACCATCTTATTCTGGAAGGAATTCTAATACTTTGGATAATCAGACTGGTTTTCTCTAAAACCTACAAGTTGCAGGAGCGATCTGATCTTACAGCCAAGGTAAGAAATGATACTTGTTTTATTCAAGGTCTGTGGCAGCTCCATCATCTTTCTAAAGTGGAATGAAACTGGACTCTCCAGTGTGTTAAAATGTTGAATGTAAGGAGAGCAGGGAGTATGGAGCATCAGAGTGGACAGAATTTGAGGAAAGTTGGGTAAAGCCACCCTGGAGGAGATAGCAGCTCCAAGTAGATGGTTTCTGGGGCACCTGAGCAGCTGCTGGACTCCAGTGTCTACACACAGGTTGTGTGAGTTGTCCCTGAGGCCTAAGGAGGGGTCTCCATGTGGTCTTCAGAAAGGGGAGGAAATACCCACATCTCAAGGAGAATTTTGATGTGTTATGTGTGGGAAGATGGAAGAAATTCCAAGCATTGAAATAAGATTTTTAGGTTGTCAAGTTACCCAAAAACTGCATGAAAAAAAGGTATGAGTTGTAATAAGGAAAGAGGTGATGGTGGTAAGTCACCAGAACTCAAGGAGGATGGCCTTCGTTCTCCACAACAGCTGGCAGGGGTTCATTCTCCACAACAGCTGGCAGGGGTTCATTCTCCACAACAGCTGGCAGGGGTGTTCTGTGGTGCGCTGTGCATTAGTGCAGCGCTGCAGTTAGGCATCAGCAGAGATGGTGTGAGGTGACTTGTGTTGTGCCACACTGTAACTTCCTTTCTTCTGTAGGAAAAGGAAGAACTGATTGAAGAGTGGCAGCCAGAACCTCTCGTCCCTCCTGTCTCGAAAAACCATCCTGCCCTCAACTACAACATCGTTTCTGGGTGACTTGCTTGGCTCACTGTTTGAAGGGCTTCCGGGTGACTTGCTTGGCTCGCTGTTTGAAGGGCTTGACCTGGCTTTGGTTCTGTTGCCAAGCGTGTGAAGTGTGGTGTTCCCTTGTTGAATGAAGACATTTCTTTGAGAAACCACTGTACTTTTCAATGTAGAATTTTCTTCAAGGGATGGTCTGGGAATCTTTTAAACTCTAATTTGGGCATTGCAGCTTATCTTCTTGTTTTTCCTTTAAAACAAATCTTTCTTCCCCTAACTTGTGCTCTGTTGTTTCTTGATTGCCCTTGCTGTGAGTTTTTATTTTTTGTTGGGTGGTCGGACTACAGACTGCCTCTAAACACAGCTGTGCCCGCTGTACCCAGAACTGCAGCATCCTCTATCAGGTCTTTGCATAGATTAGGAAAAGGTGCTCTAGAGCAGGTACAGTGGCCTGCTGTGGCCCTCGACTGTGTCTCAGCACCTGGGCTAGCCTCAAGTGCCTGAAGTGCCCCCGTGCACACAGCTTAGCTGCGTGCACCAGCCTTGTTCCTTCTTCCCTGTTAATTGCAATATAACGTGTCTGTAGATTGTAAACTGCTTCAGTTTTCTGACTCTGGCCATATTGCCATTAAAGAGGCCCGTACATGTGACTACACTTCCTTTCTCATATACTTTTCTTTTTTCTAGAGTTAAACGTCATCCATAGTTCACTTTTTGGTTCTCTGTGGTAGTCTGCAGTCTACTGTATCTTCCTCCAGGACTATACATCTCCATTGTTCAGTCATGTTAGCCATTAGGTTTCTTTTCTTTTTTTTTTCTAGAACCCTCTGTCCCACTCCTGCTGCTCAGAGTAGCCTTATAATCTTCTCTGTGGGCTTGAAAATATTGGCCCCTCCTTTCCTCTCCCTCTCCTTTTTCTTCTCCCTCTCTCTGTCTTTCCCCAAGTGGGTAAGCAGGTAAGGTACACACATCCAGTGTTCACATGTGCAAATGTTTGGAAGCCAGTGGTTGAGTGTCTTCCCTGCAGCTCTTTGCCTTACTCTCTTGAGACCATGTCTCCTGCATGTGACACTGTCACTGGTATTTGGCTAGGCTGCCTGACCCAGTGATCCTCCTGTCTGAGCCCAGCCCAGCACTAGGCTTATAGGCACTTGACTGTTCCAGGCCTTTTTAAAATTTTCTCCTTTATGTTATTAGAATACAGACAGACTCCTGAGAGTCTGAAATATGTTGTATGCTTATCTTAAGTTTGTGTTTATTTCACACTCCTATACTCTGGTGATCCTCACTATCCATTCTTTTTTTTTCAACAACTTTTATTAAAATCAAAAGCATTATGTACATTGTTTACAAAAGCTACGAGAGTCCTGGCCTGGTGTTGTAGGAATTCCAGCTATTCAGGAGGCTGAGTCAGGTACATCTCAAGTTTAAGCCCTGCCTAAGCTATAGAGTGAGTTCAAAGCAGCCTGTCTCCAAAAAAAATATTTAAAACAATAATAATAACAAATGAGCTGGGTTTGTAGCTCAGTGGTAGAGAACTAGGAAGAGGCAACACAGTAGTTAGTTTTAAAGTTTTTCAGTTTGATTAGTTGTGTGTGTGTGTGTGTGTGTGTGCGCGCGCGCGCGCGCTGCGCGCGCGTGTATGGGAGAGAGAGAGAATGTGCAAAAGCGTGTGTGTGTGTTGGGGGGGGGGTGCCTGTGGAGGCCAGAAGAGGTTGTTGGGTCCCTTGGAGCTGAAGCAGGCATTTGTAAGCCACCCAACAAGGATGCTGGGATCTGGACTCTGGTCTTCATAATGGAGCAGCCGGCTGTTGACTGCTGAGCCATATCCCCAGCCTATCACACTGGTGATTTTACCAGTATTTGTGGTGCTTGGAATGAAATCTGGGCCCTCTGTGCTAGACAGGCATTGTCCCACTGAACTAGGACCTTGTCTTGAGCATGGTTTTTTTGATGTTGATAAACTGAGTCTTACTGCTGCTGATGTAATACTGTTTGCTTCCATACTGAGTGACATGAAAGTGTTACTTAATGTTAGTTTTATTCTTTGAAAACAAGCTTTACTGAGCATCCACATAACATAAAATTAATTCTTTTAAAATATTAAGTTAAAATAAGTAAGTTTTATTGTATTTACAGAGGTGTGCCACTACTACCACTATCTAATTTTAGAACATATCTTCCCTCCTAAAGTAAATCCCAAGCCTTTTCCTTCCTGCCCCCATCCCTGCCCAGGCCCTGACAGTATTCATCTACCCTCTGTGCAGACTAGGCTAGTCTAGGTATTTCATATGAAAGAAATGATGCAAAGTGTGATTTGTGTCTAGCTCATTTTACTAAGCTCAGTCCCTCGGGCCATCCATGCTGTATGACCTCTCCCTCCCTGAGGTGGCTGAGACTCTGTTCTTTATTTGCTTCTGTCGGTTTTAGAGTGTCTTTTAAGTTCCTTAGAGTCTGGAATTCTGGATGGTGATGGTGCTGCTTTTAATCCCAGTGCTCTGGGAGCAGAGGCAGATGGATCTCTGTGGGTTCTAGGCCAGCCTGGTCTATAGAGCAAGTTCTAGGACAGCCAGAGATACAAAGAGAAATCTTGTCTCGAAAAGCCAAAAGAAGAAAGGAAAAAGTGACTGGAATTCAGCTTTGCATATGGTTGCTCCACTTTGACACTGGAAGAAACTGGTGCATGGCCTGCTGGCTGCGGGTCTATACTCTGCTCTGCAGCTGTCAGCATGCCCGGTTCCCTTGGTCTCTGCCTGCCTATGTTTTATTACACATTGTAGATGTCCCCACCGACAGTTCCAGCAGTTTCATGAGTCTGGAGTCTGTATGTGAGGTGATGCAGGGCCTTGCAGGTGATGGTGTGACTGTTTTTGTTTATGTAAGTGGCCTCAGTACACACAGTGTGGCCTTTTGTGATAAGTTGGGCAGTAAGAAAATACTAAGCAGCTTTGGTTTCTGTTCTTAAAGAGAATGCCTCCATTGTCCTCCTTGTTATCTACATATTTCAGATGAAGAGTCTTATCAATTCTATCTCCTTCTGATCTTGGTTTTAAGAGTTTAAATATCCATGCTGAACTTTATCCAGGGTCATTTCTGCATCTGTGTTTAGTAAATTGAGTCATACTTGGGATTTGCCTTCTTTTTGTGTTTTTACGATTCACTAATTTAGTTGAACTCAGTTATACGTGTTTACTTTTTCTAGTAGTGATTTGGTCTTTTTTTCTGATATCTTAGGAGCAGACATTCAGAATTTTGTAGATTTTGAAAGACACTGTGTTTACTTCTCGCATAAGAGAGCACTGTGCTGTGGCCTGGGAAAGGCACAGCACTGCCACCTCCTCTCTGCTTAGGATGGGTTAACACCTAAAGAGTTTTGTTGCTTTAAAGCTTTAGGAACTGTAGATAAGGAGTAATGATCTCTGTTCAGGGATGTAAGTTCTTCCTAAGGTCTGTCCAGCTGTAGCCCCCGCTTTTAATGTGTGCTATAAAAAGAGTTAGACACTTTTATTACATTTTATGTATGTGTGTATCTGCATGCGTGCCACAGCGTGCCTGTGGAGGTCAGAGGACAGCTTTCAGGAGTCAGTCCCAGGGATTGGACTCAGGTCATCAGGCTTTGTGGTAAGCATCTTGACCACTGAGCCATCACCAGCCCTTAAAACATGCTTTTGATACCTGCCTATTCCCAATTTTTCATTTTGATTTTTTAAAATTTTCTTTTCTTTCTTAAACCAAGAACATTGCTTTGCTTGAACTGTCTTTTTAGTGATTAGTGATTCATCGCTTTGTTGTTGGAAAGTGTTTTCCTTTCTGAACAATTCTTGTGTCCTTGCTGAGATTTGCTTTGTGTCTTTTAGGCTGTTGCAAATAGTTTGCCCATATTGTATATTAGAATACACAGTGTTGCTGGATGTGGTGGCTCACAGCTGTAACCAGTCATAGCACTTGGAAGGCAGAGACAGGAAGAGGTTCAGGAACTCAAGGGCAGCCTGGGCTATATAGTAAATTTGAGACTGTTGTGAGCTACAAAGTGAGGCCCTGTTCCAAAATAAAAAGAAAATACCACTGTTTTATAGTACTGAATATTATATTTTTAGTATTTTATAATAAAGCAAAGGTTTGCTTTATTTTCAGGGTGTCTTGTATCCATTGCATCAGGCATTTTATTGTTGCTCAGATATTTCATCTCAGACATTTCTTGTCTGCTTGGCTGACAAATGAGTGACAGAGGTGACCACCTCCCCCACCCGCCATGTGTCCCACCTGCCATGTGTCTCTCCTTTGTTTTATCTTTCCTCACTCCTTCCTTCTGGAACATCTGCTCACTGTACTTTTAACTTTTCCCTACTCTCCGTGTGCTTATGTGCTCTTTCATATTTCTGTGGGTTTTTTTCTTTTGCTTTGTTTTGTTTCTTAAGACAGGGTCTCTCTGTAGCCCAGGCTGGCCTGGAAATCACTATGTAGACCAGGCTAACATCCAATTCACAGAGCTCCTCTTGGCTCTGCCTCCCAAGTGCTGAGTCTTCTTGCATTTTATATGTTAATACTGTGAATTGATTTCAGGTTGTCCTTCTCTAGCTTTCCAGAATTCTGTACCTCTTTTCTCATGAGTTACCAGTTCTGTTGAAAAAGAAATAAATAGTGCCTCTGAGAGCAGTGTGCCAGTCCTTTCTGGCTCACCACAGATGCAGCCAGCCAGCAGGGTAACTGAAGCCACAGTTCCAGGACACAGTCCTTTTCCTCACTTGGACAACAGTTTGATAGCATCCGTCTATTCTGTCATGTTGTGTTGTTGCCTTACGTCAGCAAAGGGCTCGGCACTTGTCTCCCCAAGAGCCTCTCTCCCATCTCAGCACATCTGGCTCCTGTATAGCTGGCTGCTCTTACTCTTTTATGAGGGGTGACGAGAGGGCATGGGAGAATTCTTTCAAAGAGCATCTGAGCATTAACTTAGAAATGAGTTGTTATTTCAGTGGGTTACTATAGGTTACATTTTAAAAAACATCTTTTCTAAGATTACAACTCACTTTCCCTGTTCTTGCCTTTGATCTTGATCATTTTATGTTTCTTCCCTGATTGTTTTAGTCAAGTTTTTAGACACTTTATTTAGTTACTGTCTTCTTAAGTTATAAAATTAAAGATTTGTCATTCCTTTATCTTTTTTAAAAAATTTAGATATATTCTTAATTTATTTGTATGATATTTTTTGCCTAAGTGAATGTATGTATTCAATGTGTATGTGAACACCACATGTGTGCAGTGCCTGTGAAGGCCAGAAGAGGGCATCAGATCTCCTGGTGCTATAGCCACAAGCGGTGTAAGCCACCATGTCTGTGCTGAGAACCAAACCCCAGTCATCTGCTGTCTTTCCCAGCACCCGCTGCCATCTTATTCTTTTTTAAAGTTGTACAAGGAGCTTATTAAAGAACAGACCAGATGGGAAGAGGTTGACTTTTAATTCACATTCTAACTTATCAAAAAGTAAGAAGGAAGGGGTGGAGAGCAAGGCAGGTGGGCTGACTGTGTAGTTGTGCTATGCCTGCTCTCCTGTGCCCGGATGGGTCCTGAAGTGAGCCACTCTCTGTCTCTCCCCAGCCCTCCAACCCACAACATCGTGGTGAATGGAAAAGAGTGTGTAAACTTTGCCTCCTTTAATTTTCTTGGGTTGCTGGCCAACCCTCGGGTTAAGGTGAGTAGCACATAGTTCTGAAGTGGGACAAGACACTGCTAGCTGCAGAAATGATGTAAAAGACAAGTGTGGGTCATCCAAGAGGGACAGCATTTCACACTACTGTGTCTGTCAGAACCAAAGTCTGGACTTGGCCCATGCAGGGCAGAGTGTCTGCTGGGCTCAGTGTGAGTGGCAGCCAGAGAAGCCCGGAAGCCAGACCTGCGTAGTAGTCAGGGAACACCCAAGAAGTTGCCCAGCTCCTGCAGGGTTGGTACTTGCAGACACTCTCAGGAAAAACCTAGTGGTCATTGGGCTTTTAGAAGTAGACAAATGTCACTTCTCCATTGCTCCAGTCTGTGTCTCATTTACTAGTCTATTTCCTAAACTGTCAGAGTTGCTGTAGTTCCCAGAAAGCGGGGGAGTGGGAGAGGGGAAGAGGAGCCCTATGGGTCCGAGAGTGGAACATGTTGCCTGGACTTGTTGGACTTGCCATAGTTACAGGGAAGAAGGGGAAGCAGGGGAGGGGTCATGTAGGTCCAAGAATAGCAAGGGTAGTCAGGACCACACACAGGAAATCATCAGCGTGTTTGCTTCCCTAAAGGCGGCAGCTTTAGCATCTTTAAAGAAGTATGGCGTGGGTACCTGTGGACCCCGAGGATTTTATGGCACATTTGGTAAGTCACATTCTTTTTCAGACTCCCTTGAAGGATCTGTTTGAGTTTGGAGCTCCTTAGGAAGCATTCTTAACCATCAAGCTGAATGTGTGCACTTTCTTGATTTTCATTTGTTGTGGGTGGGAGCTGTAGGGGGAAGAGCCGTCAAGGCCTGAGGATGTGCTGTGATAGGCTCTCCTGCAGGAGTCCTGACAGACAGTGTAGGAGAGACTGTTTGGGTTGTGCGTGCCAGTTGTTGGGCGCAAGGTCCAGCGGCTGGGGGCTTGCTGTTCGTAGTAATGTGGGGATCTGTGTCTAGTGTCACCATGTTGTGGAACGAAAGGGCAGGCAACAGTGCCGTTCCCACAGGCCGGGTGGCCTCACACCTCACTTTCCTGCCGCCCACTGGCACGAGCTAACAGAGGCCATATCTGGTCAGAAGGCAGGGCGGGCCAAGAGCCCTGGGCAGCAAGTACCACGAAGAAAGGCAAGAACACATTTCCTGGGTTGTGGTTGTAGCTTTTTTTTCTTTCTGCAATGGAGGTGGAGAGTCACCACTGTCTTTGTGTGCCTGGGGCAGCTCACTCAATCCTCAGTGGTGGAAGGTAGCAACTACCAGGAGCTTCCCAACTCAGCCTTCAGAGCCCTCACTGTGTGTGTGCAGTGCCCTTTGCTTCTGGACTGTCGTCAAGTGTTCCGGGGGGCTGAATCTTGGAAATAGCCTTCTGGTTTAGGAGACTATCTTGTTTCCATTTCTGCATTTTCTGTGTCTTAACCCCATTGGGGAACATGTTTTTATGAAAGAGACCCTTCCTTTGTTTCTTAGTTTGGTGGTTGCCTTACTCATGCTGGAACAGATGAGGAGAGTTGGTGCCCAGAAGGCTATAGCCAGAACTCAGAGATTCTTACCTCCCATCCTCCGACTCCCTCCTCCTCCTCCTCCTCCTCCTCCTCCTCCTCCTCCTCCTCCTCCTCCTCAGTCACACAGTTCATGAATTTCTCCCCTGAAATTAGGCCCGCTATCCCAACTTCCTAGTCAGGCTCAAATGGCAGGATCAGAGGACTGAGCTCAGACCCAAGCCTCCCACTGCCCTCTGGTCTAAGGCAAGCTGTGTGGTTTGCTTGCTTTTCACTGGTAGGGACTTGTTTCCTTGGCACAGGACTAGAAAACAGGAAAAGCTGCTTTTTTATGACTTGGTGGCTGCCATCTGATTTATGAGGCTTGCTCTCTGAATTTGCCAGAGTAAAGAAGCTGCTTTCTTCAGAGTCTGTAGTAGTTTTTATTTGTGTGGCCCTGACTGCTGCTTAGGAATTAATCTGGGAAGACAGATGAGATAGATTTCTCCAGAGCTGTGAAAATACAGTTAAAAAGGCCCAGTTCTCTCTGAGTACTAGATGCTCTTCAGTTAGCGCTCCTCACTGAGTAACCTGGTCCAGATGCAGAGTTCAGGCCTTACCCCACCTACCCAGTCCTCCCAGCCACCATCTCACCCAGAAACAAAGTCAGCCACCATCAGTCCTCTTGTTGGCCCTGCCACAGGCTTTTCTTCAGCATGTGCGGATGACTTCTGTACATGTATATTTCTCCCATTTTTCAAAAATAAAACTATTTTATACATTGTTCTATGCTCTGATTTTTGCTTGCTTTCTTTTTCAATTTTTTAATTTATTTTTATACACTATATTTTGATCATGTTCCCTCCCCCCAACTCCTCCTAGATTCTACCCAAGTTCATGTTCATTTTCTCTTAAAAAAAGAATGAAAAAAGGTAAGACAACAGAATGCCCAAACAAAGCAAAACAAAATCAAAAGTCCACCCCACCCTCCCCAGAAACAGAGTTGGTTTTGTGTTTGCCAGTTACACCTGGGCGTGGGACCTGTCCTGCAGTGTGGTTGATAGACCCAGTGACACTCCACTGGAGACCATGGGGTTTCCCTTTGCCAAGCAGGTGTCCCTTGTAAATAGCTTTGTCGTTGGCCTGGGCTGTGTTTTAATGTGGATGTGAATGTGTTTGGGGTTTTGTGACACTAGAGAAAAACCACGGCCTTGTGAGAAGTGTGGGCACATACATGTCTCCACCAAACTGTACTAAGCCCCCAGACGAGTGTATTTTAGATTTAAATTGGATTTGATTGTTCAGGCGTCTGAATAACCAGCAGAGGCAGATAGCGAATATCCAGTTTTGTAAATACTTGCAGCGACCCTACAGACCAGTCACTCCTGTGTGTCCTAAAACCATGCCTGAAGGTCCAGTTGACCAGGGCTGCAGGCTCATGTGCAGCAGGGCAGTTATGTAATGGGACTGTTGGTTCATTCCTTGTTCGGCTTGTTTCCTCTGTGTGTGCATGTGTAATCTTTGTACTTTCTCTATTTTCTAGCAGGGTTTTTTCTGTTTGGTTGGTTATGTTCCCTTTATTCTGTTTTCTTTTTAACTTTATTTTTTATTTATTCTTTGTGTCTTTTACATCATGAATCTCCATCCCATAAATTTCCCGGTCCTTTCACATCTGCACTCTGCCCTTGCAACCACTCCCCAAAATAAAATAAAATAATATTTAAGAGGGTAAGAAAGAAGAAAAGAAAAATGAAAAAGATAAAATCAATCTTGTCACAAAAGCTGCAGTGTGACAAGTCTCAGTAAACCCCTTGTCCATATATCTTTACTAGCAAGAGTCATGGGTCTGGTTCAAGGCCTCTGGTTTCTGCTACACTAGCAATGCTGGACCCTCTCTGGAATTCATCTTGGATGTCCTGTTGTCCTATGTCATGGAGGTCCTGCAAACCCTTCACATGCTCCAGCACATCACAGATGGGGTAGATGTTGGGTAGGCCAACTCATAAACCTGTTTCTGGGCCTGGGTAGTTGCAGGGTTGGTCAGCCCTCCAGCTGTTCCCTGTCCTCACCACCAGGGTCTGTTCTGCATTGCCCTGGCAAGTTCACCCCTTGCAAGGATGAGCAAGGGGCGGGGCCAATTCTCCTGCTTTCACATCCTCAGGGTCAGTTTCCCCAAACCTACACCTTCAGGGCCAGCTCTACTGTGTTGCCCAGAGTGCTACAGCGGGACAGCTCTCCCACTCTTATGACCTCAGGGCCAGCTTTCCCACCTCCCTCAGGCATTGATAGGCTGGGGGTTGGGGGATGGGGCATGTCTTCTCTGCCATGCCGCCACATGGACAGGTGAGTGATGTCTGCCCTTATTCTGGAAGCAATTACTTAAATGATTATAGTGACTGGCTTTAGAGTCAGCATTCAGTAAAATCTGCTTGAGTCATCTCAGGCTGAATTTCAGACCTCTGCCACAGCCCTGCAGTTGAATCACCCTGAGTGAGCAGATGCCTGGCTGGCACCCTGTGCACTGAGCCCTATAGCAGATGTGGGCACCCTCCTCTTCTCTGTACTTGTTATGTTTACTTGAACTATAGCTCAAGGCTTAAAATTTCTTTCCTAGACCCACAGAGGTTGCTTTTAATTTGATACTTTCCTCCTTGCTGTACTCTTGGGCATCTGTTTTCAAAGCTCTCTTCCTTTGAGATCTTCTCTTAACTCGTAGATAATGAACATAAACCTCTTACAGTAGAAGTAACTTTCCTTGCTCAAGGCTGAGGTAGATCCCTAGAACACACGGTGGGAAGAGAGAACTGACTCCCTTCAGTCGGCCTCTGACCATGACAGGTGCACTGTGACACACTTGTACCCACACGCACATACAAAATAAGGTTTTTTTTTTAAAAATTCTCTCTTTTTTTTTCTTTTTTTACCATTTATGGTAACATATCTATTAGATGATTAATACAGAAAGACTGTGGAGTGGTGACTGAGCTAAAGTTTGTCTGATTTTAGAGTAAATGCGGCCTTCCTCCCAGAAGTACGACAGAGGGAACTGAACTCTGAGTCCTTCTGAGTCCTTCCAGTGGCCAGCTCACAACACGCATATCATGTTTAGAAATCACACACAAATCTACTGATTTGTACAGCTAATGTGTGTTGTTAATTGTGGTTTAAAAGTAGATAGAAAGTCATGATTGAAATGTTTCCCACCCACTTCTTTGTGGTTTAGAGCTGAGAATCTAGTCTCCCTCCAGGGTAGTCAGGTCCTGTGTGTTCAGGAGGGTATGCTGTGCCTGTTCGTTCCAGTGTTTCCCTGTTTGGGTACACGGAAGCCATTCTTACACGTAATCCTCACTGGCTTCTTAGTCTCGGTCTGAATCAAATGACATCACTATGTGACAGACTTAGAAGTGAACATCCTTGCCTTCCTTCTGTTTTTGTGAGAGTAATCAACTGGCTGCAGCTGGGGGCCAGGAAGAGCATGCGCTCTTCAGACTCCTAGATTGGCTGCTGCTTTTCTTCGTCATAAGATTGTGGTTTTGTAGATGTGGGGAGCTGTCCTCAGGCACATAGCTTAGAGCATTTCAGTAAGAATAACACAGCGTCCTGGATGTGAGACAATCTTCATGACATTTGAATACACAAGTGCTGTTGTTTTTACTTTTAGGAAGAATTATGCATGTGCATGCATGCTTGTGTGTTGCTAGGAATTGAACCCAGGGCCTTGCACATGCTGGGCAAGCGCTGTACCACTGAACTATATCCCCAGCCCTTTTTTGTAGTTTTATTTTGAAGCAGAGTCTCACTAAGTTGTCCAGGCTGGCCTGAATTTGGAATCTTCTTGCCTCAGCCTCCTAAGTAGTCAAGCTAATGTCTCCTCTGTCTTGGGAATTTTCACTCATTTATTTATGTTTGGGAAGGGGTGTATGCCACAGCTCCTGTGTGGAGATAGAAAGCAGTTTGCAGGAGTCAGTTCTACCCTGTCACCATGTACATCCTGGAGCTCAAACTCAGGTCATCCGGCCTAGCAGCAAGTGCCTTTACCTGCTGAGCTATCTCAGTGGCTCAGAAATATTTTTTTAAGAATGGTATTTATTAGTCTGGGCAGTGGTAGCGCACACCTTTAATCCCAGCACTCAGGAGGCAGAGGCAGGTGGATCTCTGAGTTTGAAGCCAGCTTGGTCTACAGA